TTGATGGTTTAAATTATTTAGAGTGGTCAAGAGGGATCAAGTTGTACACCACTGCAAGGGGAAAGATAGGTTATATTAATGGGAGAATCAAAGAACCACATTCTGGGAGTGCTGAATATGACAGATGGAACCAGGAAAACAGCATCATCATGTCCTGGCTTTTAGTTTCTATGCAACCTCAAATAATAAGGAATTTGATGTGGGCTGAAACGGCAAATGAAATCTGGGAACAAGCAAAATCAACATATTCGGAACTGCGACACTATGCAAAAATCTACCAACTACAGGCAGAATCGTCTACTTGTATACAGGGGGAGAGGTGTCTATCTGTGTACTACTCAGACTTGACCTYTGTCTGGAARKWGTTAGAYCATTATCAGAGTGTGGACTGGAAGTGTGATGAAGATGCAAAACTGTACAAAAAACTCGTCTCCCGACAGAGAGTGTTTTCTTTCTTACATGGTTTGAACCCTACATATGGATCTATCAGAGTTCAAATCCTAGGTAGCAAGGATCTTCCATCAGTTCAGGAAGTTTATGCTCTTGTACAATCAGAAGAAAGCAGAAGGAATTTGATGAACAATTCTGGAGGAGATGTAGTTGTGTTGGCAGCGAAAGGGAGTGCTACTACCGGTGGGGGAAATACTTCTAGGAAGGGAGATCTTCAGAAAAAGATGGATGACAAGGACAAATTGTGTACTCATTGCCAAAACCCCCGACACACCCGACACACATGTTGGGATCTTCATGGGAAGCCGAAATGGGCTCAAGATCTTAATAAGAAGCAAGGTTCAGATATGAATAAAAAGTCAGGACAGCAAGGAACAAGAAAACACACTATGGTAAAGCATGGCTACTCAGGAGAATCAGCCCCCCATTCATACTGTGACTCAGACACATTCATCCGGATCTGACCCAAGGGAGGATATTATAAATTCCTTTCGTAACCATTTAGAGCTCTATGGTAGAGCAATTCGTCATATGGATGCTCCTCCCTCAACTTCATTTGCGTCTACATCAGGTAACTCTGCCACAGCTTTCCATGTTGCTTCTCATAACCCTGACACTCCCTGGATCATTGATTTTGGAGCGTCAAAACACATGACGGTACATGTGTTTTGGGCCTTACCCTCTTTCTAGAAGAGACAAGGTGAGACTAACTGATGGATCATATACTACCATAGCTGGTCAAGGAACCATTTCTCTCCCTCTGGGCCTTACCCTCTTTGATGTTTTACATGTTTTGAAATTTCCCATTAATTTGTTCTCTGTTAGTAGTATTACTAATTCCTTAAACTGCTCAATGACCTTTTTCCCTTCTTACTGTGTGATCCAGGATCTGGCTTCGGGCAGGACGATTGGTAGAGGATGTATGGTTGATGGACT